AGTTCACCACATCTGCGAAAAGAGCAGACACATCCTTGCCAACCGTCATGTTGGCAATGACCTGGCGGAGGCCCGCCTGTGACGACTTGTGTTGGCTTCCATAGACTTGGATGTTGCGGCAGTCTTTGGATTCAACATGCCGACAGTCAGAAATCCGCGTCCTACAACGCCAAGGCCCCGGAAAACAAATCGTCCGCTCGATATCTGCTTTAACGTGCCGCTTCACCATCCCCGCCGATCCCAAGGCCGCCCGGGAAGAAACTCGCCGCCTTCTTCACCGCGTCCTTCTGCTTTTGCTTGTCGTTGGCATGCAGCTCCTCCTTCAGCTCCTGACAAAAAGCAGCATCCATCCATCGGATCACTCACGGAACCATGAAATGGGAATGAGTTCTAATTGGGGACCCTCTGGTGGACATCATTTAGGTGGGGATTCATGTCCACCAACCACTTTTCAGGGGGTTACTCCTCAAAGATCATAGCCCTATGCCTGTGACCTCGGGGAACTTGATGTTTCAAGGTCTTTGAGGTAGGCTTCTGCACCCCAAAAAGGCCCTTCGACGTTTGGCACCCTTGTGACAAACACAAGTGTCAATGGCACGGCCGCCGAAGGAGCCAAACCAAGGCATGAGATGCTCCGCTCCTGAATTTCGCCCCTCTTCGTGGTCTGAAAAAACTTCCCATCGTTCTGCTTCCTGCGAAAGGAAAGCGCCAGGAAGACAAGCAGCGGCAAGTGAAGCGGAGTGATGTGCAGTCAAAGCGTGAAAAGATTCCGTGCTCGCAGGTCTACCAAGGCTGGCAGCTAGGATTTGCTAAACTGACTTTTGGTGGTGGCAAACAAGCCTGACAAATCAGCCAAGAAAAACGATTGCTTGCCAGCTCAGGCAACGACTGTCTGCTCGAGGCAAGAAAGCAAGAAATGCGAAGTATGCGGAACACTTGCTCAAAAACACAAGAGCTGCAAAACATCCCAGCGTTCACAACATCTGAGGCAAGGACTGTCTCATTGCCACCATGCAGGCGTCTGCCTAGTCGCCCCAGGCGCGTTTGTTGGGCGGTGTTCGGCCCTGGATTGAAACCCATCAGAAGGGATTCTTCCAATTTGTGCCCTAATTTTGACATCAGGATTGCAGTGAACTGCAAAATAGAAACCAGGGCAGATTCAATGATTCTTCTGTGAACAACAGGGGTTCAAATTCGAAAGTTTCTGATTCCCAGCACGTTGACTGCTCTATGAACACCGGCATTTTCAACAAGACTATGTCCTGGACTAATTTGCTTTAAGCCAGGCAAGCAGGCAAGCAGGCAAGCAGGCAGGCAGGCAAGCAGGCAAGCAGGCAAGCAGGCAAGCAAGCAAGCAAGCAAGCAGCAAACGCCAGAAAAAAGAAGGAAAGCAGTAGGACTGAAGTGGAAAGAGACGCAACTCTGAGACCCAAATGGACAACAACGAACTGCACAAAGGAGGCCACGTTCAGGCTTCTCTTTCCGGTAGCTTGCGTCTCTTGCGGCGAAGCTTCGTGGCCTTCGCGGCTTTCAGAAAGGTAGCTTCGCAAACTAGACACTAAGCCCACAATCCACCCAAAGCCCAAAAGATCAGCCTCACACCACCCTCAAACCAACCCTAACAAACCCTCCCTCTCACGACCATCGCCCCGAAACCAACCCCGAAAAGACCCTACACCCGCCCTAATCCCTAAACCAAACCCACCCTCGCACCAAACCCACCCTCGTCACTACCACAAAAAGCGTGTTCATCAAGCTTCTGCAGACTTGGCTTGCGTCAGAGCCCGGCCAGTTCTGCCGGCGTAGTATGGCGCCAAAATTGAAACTTGGCCACCGTGCAGTTTTGTCTTGCGCCAGCATTTCTGATAGCCCACCGAGGTTGGTGCGGTCGCAGTGCTGAAACCACGACTTACAAGGTGAGATCGAGTCTCAATCCAGCTGCCTTCTCACACCGAGTCCCAGGAATCCCACCATGGACCCTAAAATGTTCTTCAGCCTCTGCACGCAAACCGCTGTGCAGAGGGATACAAAGGCTAGAGGCCGCATGGGAAAGCCCTCCAACTGCGGTGGCTCTAGTGGCCGTTTTCGCTGGGACATTGGATTCATCAGAATGGGGCAAAAGACATCAGCACAATTCATCTGAACAACTAATGTCACCCTTCTTTGCTGGCTTCAAAGGCATCTTGAGCTGTCCGTCCCACACATATAATATATATATATATATATATATTTTTTTTATATAGACACACACACACACACGCACGCACGCACGCACGCGCGCGCACGCACGCACGCACGCACGCACGCACGCACGCACGCACCCACCCACACACACACACACACACACACACACACACACACACACACACACACACACGCATCTGGCCTGCCAAGTCGACGGTTGCCACCCATCCACCCACGGGCACCCGCGCGGACGGATTTGCGCAGACCGCTGCCAAGCCGCACCACCTCCGCCCCGGAGGTGGGCTGCGGCGCCTGCGAGAGCTCCCTGTTTGAGCGCTGAGGAAGTGGCAGGACACAGAATCTGGCCCGGAGGATTCAAATGGCCATGGGTCAAAACCCCGTACACCCAGCGAACATCCCAATCCTCACTGAAATAGACTAAAATGGAGGTGCACCTACCCCAAAACGGTACCATTGGTCTTGACCCACGGCCAAATGCCAGCTGATTCAAATGCCAGTGTAAAAACCGAAAGGCAGCTGTCGCAAATTGCAAGGGAATGGATTTTCCCCTTGCCAGGCAGTAGTAGCAAAGAAGCTCAGAAGTTCCTATGCAGTTTTGCCCGCTCCTTTTCGCTTGCCCCGCTGTTTGATTGAGGGAGGCCAACTGTCTTTGGCAAGGCTCTTCCTTAGGGGTCAGGCAATAAAGATCTTGCAGCTCTCAAAGGGTAATCGGTTTAGGTGTTGTGGGTTGGAATAGTTCTGCACGCATGCAACAGTGCGAGGAATGCTTCACTCAACTTTTCGCCCGAAACCACGTTGAATCTGGAGCATCGCACTACAATGACATTCCAAGTGAGCCATTTTACATCATCATGGGAAACTCCAAGTCACCCAAGACTTACCTGCTCGAACCACTGAAAAGGCACCTCAAGAGTCCAGGCTCCCAAAACAAACTTGGCAAAAAAACAACCTCAAAATGAAGGCTAGCTCAATGTCTGACAGACCGACTGCGCGCTTCCTTCCATCTGAGTTTCCATCATCCAACCTGCAATGACCCTCAAAAAGGAACCTCCCGGAACGGCTAGAGTCAAAATGCCCTTGCTCTAACGCTTCGAAGCTTGATGTCTTTGGCAAACCAGCCTACCGAAAGTCACCCCATAGCCCACGCCTGCACCACAGCTGCCCTCAGCTCATGAGCCAAAAGTCCCAGACGGCGCGGAATATGCGCCCTCCGACCAGTGAACCGTAGGACGGACCTATGACATCGCTTGTCCAGAACTAAGATTCCAAACGCGGCCGCAGTATGGTTGGACACACCTTGATGTCCGTTGTCGTGGTCGTGGTCGTGGTCGTGGTCGTGGTCGTCGTCGTGTCGTCGTCGTCGTCGTCGTCGTCGTCGTCGTCGTCGTCGTCGTCGTCGTCGTCGTCGTCGTCGTCGTCGTCGTCGTCGTTGCTGTCGCTGTTGCTGTTGTTGCTGCTGCTGCTGCTGCTGCTGCTGCTGCTGCTGCTGCTGCTGCTGCTGCTGCTGCTGCTGCTGCTGCTGGTTGTCGTTATCGCTGTCGCTGTCGCTGTCGCTGTCGTTGTCATTGTCGTCGTTGTCGTCCTGCTTGGCGGTTGTTGTTGTTTTACTTCATTCCTTGTTGTTTTTTTCTCCGGGGGTGCCGAAGCGCTGCCTTTTCCGATTGACTCTGCCAGCATGTTCAAGCCATATAGAAAAAGCTCCAAGCCAAGCGCCGAACTACAAAGTTCTGAACACAAACAACTCCTCGAGCAGGCAATTACCGGGGACATCCGTGTGTGGCACTTGCGTACGGATCGCACTGCGAGCAGCATCACTGTTTTCAGCTCGCAAGTGTGTACTTGACTCAGCCACGTCAGGCCAGGCTAAGCATTTCAAGGGCGGCACACCAACCAGGTCTTTTTGATGCTCACAAAGAAATTACGTTATTCTGCGAGTGCAGTGAACTCCACCCAGCCAAACTCGTGTCCCCTGTGATACGGCGCTTAGGGCGCAATTCGCAGCCACCTCTCCTGACAGTCTCAGAGAAGAAGCTAACTTGAAGGGCTCCAACGCAGCAGCTGGGCACCGCACTGGACCGTACCACTTTGGTTGGGTCATACGCAGGACGTGGCGCTTGCTAGATTTGTAACCGAAGCTTGGCATCGTGCGCGGTCGAAACTCCGCCTGATCGGATGCCATTGTTTCTGCCTGTCTAAAACAGACTGAGAGTTGCATCTCTTGTTTTCGCAACAGTGGCATGAACTTTTCCAAGGTCCCATCCTGGTGGCCAAATGGACTTTGCCGTGGCACGCAAAGAAATCGTCTCCAGCCGGATCGCCCCGATGGCTCACGCGGTGTGGCCTGGGCGATCGAGGCAAGGCGACATGCCCTGTAGGCTGGGGAGCATTGCCAGCCGCATCACGAACATCGGCAGAACAGTTGGCACCCCTTCTATCAGACCTCTGGCCTGCCGACCCCACGAGCTTCCTCTGCCAAGCGCCCAGCTGGTGGCAGAGCGTGGGGAGCTTGCGGAAACAAACTCCTCGCGGGAAGTGCTTTTTTGAGGGTACGCTTTTCCGGTCGGATTAAAAGGGAAAGCTCCCCCTGGTTGACCCATGTCGAACGGAGCTCGGGACCCTCCCGAATGGCTTCTGTTGCATGGTGGCTCCCTCCTTTGTCTTCCCAAGATTCGCCAAACAAAAGCGCCTGAGAGACCATGGGGATCGCCTGGAACACCTTAAGGGCATGAACAGTGCAGGCTGAAATTCGTAGCGACCAGGATCTCTCTCAGAGCATCAACTAACATAAATGTTCCCTACCTATGCAGACTTCTCACCTATCAAACTGAACGCAGCTGGTTGGGCAAATCATTTGCAGCTGTGATGCAACCCAGGTGGAGGGCATACCCTTCCACAAATAAGCTTAGAAGTGCGCAAACCGGATGTGAGACTATTGTTTTGTCCGGGAGGTGGTGACTTCCATTGTTAGTTGCGCAGGAGAAAATGTTAGCGGCATCCCAAATCCGCAGGATGCCAGGCTCAGTCAATCTAAGCAAGTCAGTGCAAAAATACTATCTTCCTCCCAGGTCCACAAAAAAGAGTCTCGTTGTGGGATCTGTTTACAACTGCCTGAGAGGGACTGTAACTTTGATCTGCAAAGGAGGGAAGGTTGAAATCCTCACCCTCAGGTCAGAAGAGGAGGGAACTCCTGGGACGGATGCTCGCCCAGTCCGCAAACGCGCCTCCCGTGAAGGAACCCTCTATCAGGTTGCGTCTGTCGATGTACACGGTGTCAAATCAAAATCACACCCAATGAATGTTGGTTCCCATCCGGAAAGGCCTTGGCTTGGACGTCTGCCCCTTGGTCCCTTGGTCGCTATGACTCAGTATGACAGCTATGAGAAAAAGATCCACTCGGAGATGAAAAAAAAACTTGAACGGGAGTTCCGGCATGAAGGATCAATTTTGGAGGGCTTCATTGACCGGAGGGCCGTCAGTTAATGCCACTCACAACAGGCTGAAAACACTGAACGTAAATCTGCAGCTGTTTTTCTTCACAGTCTTGAGACTTTCCATACCACATGGCCGGCCGGCGCCTCCTTGCGCTTCTGCCTGGGGCTGTTGTCAGGAGTCTATAGCCGTCCATGGGGGGGGGGGAAGGCGCTGGGAATACTGGGTGGCCGGATGCGAGTGAAGCTGAGCGCAATGATTTTGGGGCACGTGCCAAATTGCCGCAAAACTCCCTCTCTGAAGATGTTTCAGCCACGTTTGAATAATGCCAAAGCTGTCTGACAACTCCGAGTGGGCAAATCCTTGTCAAATCCTGGTCAAATCCAAAGGGGAAGTGCTGCCAAAGGGACACGGGCCATGGCGACACCAGGTTCCTGAAGCATTTCCCATTCCACTGGAAGGTGACATCCATCTCTGATTGGACATCCAAAATGCTGTGGATTCACACGTTTGCTGTCTACAAACAGCCTACAAGACAAGTGCCCATGGCACCCACCCACCAACACCCACCCACCCACCCGACCACCAGCAATGTGTGGCTGCCTGGCTGATTGTGACCACCCCGCTGTTAGGTGGGTCGAAACTCGAAACAACTTTGGAGCTTCAAAGATTACGCTTTTTCACTAACCTGACGGACAGCTTCGGGCGCTTCGCATTCCAATCCCGATCGCGCAGCCAAGGGGTCCCGATCAGCCTTAGGCTTCTCTCCCTCCCCTCCATCCCTCTCGCTCAGGCTGCGGCTCTTTCTCCTCCTTGGTGCTCTGAGCCAGCTCCTGGACCTCAGCAAGCGGCAGGAAACGCCACCCCATCGAGTAACAACTAGCTCGAGTCAGTTCCCATGGCTTCATGACACAAGAAACCGGAAACCGCGAGGTGTCCAAAGATATAGGGCGTGTCTCAACACGTGCAAATCCAAATGGCTTTCTACAGGAAACTTGAGCGGAAACAAGCGGCTGGAAGGTTCAGGGGTAGGATGTCCCTTCCAGAGCAAAAATACTCTGTCTAACCGACCCTGCCACAAGCGTCTCAACAAACAAACTTGCATAAATGTGTCAGAGGCATTTTCCGTTCTGCTGCGTCTGCATACCTCTGTTTTCACGTTTCATGCTGCGAAAAGACTGGGCTCAAACTACGGAAGCCGCACCCTACCCAAAAGCTTCGAACACCAGCGCTTTTTCGAGGCTTGTCACGGCCAACATCCACCAATGCTGCTGATCAACTTTTACTTTACCTTCAATCTCCACCCTCCGGCCTCTTGCCCTTCCAACCCCTCTCCCTCAACCGAGACTTCTAAAGACAGACTGGGGCGCTTGCGATGGCCTCCCCTTGCTTAGCAGCCTTCATCATGCTGCCTCGACGCCAATTTGTCAATGGGGGTTGTCGTGAAACAGAGTTAGCTCACCCTGATCTTTACATGCCCTGCATGCACTATCAGCACAAGGTGGTTTTCAGGAACTAACTCCCACTGGGAGTAAGGACTAAACAGCCCATACATACGGATCAAGTCCCCCATATCGCAAGAATGGGCAGCACGTCCTTCTGGCAAACTAGCAGGTCTGGCTGACTTGCGATGGGGAAGAAACCGTACCGAGCCATCACGGACTCGGTAAGCCTGGTGGGTCTATGTGACCAGAGAACCCATCATGTTAAGCCCCAGAAATTCCAATGCAAGTCGTTGGAAAGGAACACCTGTTCAACAATGTGTCCCTACTGGCAAGGTGAATACTAAAGCAAGCAAGCTTCACAACACGCCCTGTTGTTTGGAAGCGTCACTCATCCCAACGTATTTGCAAGGGCCCCTCACTA